GGGGCCCATCTGCCCTGATGAGCCCTGCCGCGGGCCACGGGGCTCATCTGCCTGATGAGCCCCTGCCGCGTGGTCACGGGGCTCATCTGCCCTTCTGCTCCTGATGGGCCCTGCCGCGGTCACGGGGCCCCATCTGCCCCTGATGACCTCGGCCGCGGGTTCACGGGGCCTCATCTGCCCTGGATGAGCCCTGCCGCGGGGTCACCGGGCCTCATCGGCCCTGATGAGCCCTACCGCGGGTCACGGGCCCATCTGCCCTGAGGAGCCACTGCCGCGGGTCACGGGGCTCATCTGCTCTGATGGAGCCCTGCCGCGGGTCACGGGGCTCATCTGCCCTGATGGGCCCTGCCGCGGGGGTCCACGGGGCCCCATCTGCCCTGATGTACCTCTGCTGAGGGCCATGGGACCCATCTGCCCCTGATAAGTCCCGTCGCGCACCACGGTGCTAGTATGCGGCAGGTGTGACGTCACAGCAGGCCAGCCCCACCTTCAGCCGCCTGTCCTGTAGCGTCAGGAAGACGAGTTCAGCTCATAAGGCGTGTCGTGCATGGACTGGATACCGTGCGCCGACGTCCTTGTCCATACCAGTGCAAGTGGCATGCTTACGGTTCGAATTCTTGCGAGTGTTCAACTCCACCTGAAAATAGGCAAAAGCGACCAATATTCAGTGGCCGACAGGTGACGGCATGTGAAGCATGGGAATCGATGCGCGCCGACAAGTACTGAAACGGTATGAACGGTCTGCGATAATAAAAGTCTGAACCCGCGCTTGCCCCAAATTTGACGTGCACGACCAAAACACGGGGCAGGGCCGGTCGGTCGGTCAGGGTCAGGAGCACCGCTGTGTCCACCACCCCCTCACCGAAGCTGGGTCAGAAGGGCAGCGTTGGCCGCCGCCGCCCCGACCCGTCGGTGACCTGCGGCGACCTTGCGCACCAGAAGAGGTCACCGTCGCCTCCAGCTCACCGCCGAGGTGTTGGCGGCGTCTTGGCGACACCCCGCGCACCCCAATGGCGGTCTGTCTCCAACCATAAAGACGTTTGGCGCTGCCAGGGGCGGGGACCACACGCTAATTGGTTAATGACTTTGTTGTTTTGCCTACCACTGGCCGTTTGGGTGGTCCAAAAGGCGCCACCGTGTGGACGTCGTGTAACACGTGACGGCGGTTATATCTAGGGCCCAAATGGCCCATCCACCTTAACACCTTTCATATCTTTCGTTTTAAAACGATCCGTGCGTATCCTTATCCACCGTCCTCATCATTTCCGTGCATATCCTTATCTACCAGTCGGATGTACTATCGCTGGTGCGTCTGGCACCCGACCGACAATCCGACTGAATGCATCTGGCATTTAATAGCATGTGAGAGCAGACAACTAACAAGGGGCGTTCTGAATGGTGATGGAGTGCCATCTGTGTACTGCACTCACGCGTTTACAAGATCACCTCATCGAGCAGTTCATTGGACCTCCCCAGGACGTTTTCAAGCCATAAATTCCGCAGTTTGGAGACTCCGAGGAGTTTTACTTCTAAATGGAGCTCGCGTAAGCTGAAGCTGGAAATTTGTGTAACTAGCCCACATGTATTGGTCTGGAGAATGCTGGATTTGAGGCGACAGGAATGATTAAACTATTCAACTCTCGGATGTCTAGAACATGTTCGTTATTCCCTTTGCTCCTCGTAAGGCTCTTCCGCAAAATTTCACTTCTGTTATTCGCCATGTTGGTTTTTAGACCTCGGCCTGCGGCCGTTCATATAAGTCATCCATTTGTCATACTTTTTCCGACGACGGCAGGAAATGAACGGTGATTTAAGTCCTCCCCTCGGCCGAAATTGGCTTCACTCTCGCCGAGTCGGCCTTTTTGCTGCTGACCAGGGGAGGGCTGGGTGTCGCCGCGGGCCTAAAGCACACCGGAAATCATCCCCGAATGTGCGCACGTGCGGACCATTAGCGATTAACAACAGGGGCGGTGAAAGTCGGCAGACTCAGCGACCACAGTCGGTCCGGCGCCTTTCTGCCACAGCGGCCTGGACCCAGCGGCGCGGTCAGTCTGGCTGAAAGTTCACCATATCCCGTGAATTGTCGTTTTCGTCAAAAAAGAATAATATTTGCAAGTACGATCTTGTAAAATGAAATATCATACAAGCAGACTCAGGTAGGTAAGTTGTCAGGACAGGTAAGTTGTCATTCTCACTGTGAAATTTCTTTGGACCTGTAAATTCCTGCGCAACATAACACAGTCATTTTAGGTGCAAGGGCTTTGTCAACAGTTGGCTGGTAAACTGGGCACAGAGGGGTGAATGGTGTCATTTGCAACAATTCACAGGTCTAATACGTCCCACAACGTGCGATGGCACAGTACATAAGAGTGATGTGCAGCGCACTGGGCAAGCGATGCATATGTATGATATATGATCAAGGCATATATGACTATGACTATGACTATGATATATAACTAACGTGGGGAATGCAATATTATTTACATGGAAAATTGCTGTGACCATAGGTGACATACTGTGTGCTTAAAGGCGCCCATTTAAACAGAAAAGTATTGCTGGTCTTTCCTTTTACTCTAAATGACAGCTTTCGCAACAGACTCTTTACAAACAAAGTGAGGCTCGTGGTTACTTCACAGCATAATACCTGACAGTAATTGCCTGTTGCGTCCATGACGGTACAGTCGGAGTGACGCGCCTGTTGATATCGGCTCCTCCGCTGCGATGAAGCCCTGGCTGTAATCGTGACTAATTTGTCGGTTACGCCACCGGCTGAGCGGCGGTGGCGGTCGTCCGGACAGGTGCCAAGATATGCCCTGGCCGTCCGCCCCCCGCCCGCCTCCCTTTCACCTGTGCCGCGGACTGCGAGCCACAAAAACACCGGCCGCCGGTGCCGGCCGCCGACAATTGAAGCGGGGTAGCGCTGCCGCCGGGCTTCTGTGCCCGTCTCGGGGCCTGGAGCGGCGGCGCGGCCGGCTGTGACGAAACGACTTCTTTTGACGACTGCTGGCTTGACGAACGACCCGAGTTAAAGCGATGACCACTCTTTGGCTGCAGTCAAAGCCTCTTCGATACCGGTTCAAGGAATGTGACCACTTTTCGACGGACCACCAAAGGAGCGTTCTTTGTTGACCTTCAGACACTTATCCGTGAAAAGCGTTTCAAAACCCTTTACGGTAGAATCTCATTCTGCTCTGATTTTTGTATGAGATGGGACATGGTGCGGAGTTTATTACCTATTCAATATGTGGATTATGAAGCTTTCGAAGCGGTGGGGGGGGGGGGGTGTCTCGCATAATCTGAGAAGCTTATCATAGCACTGTCCTCGAGCCAGCTCTATTCTGCTGCCGCGTTCCACGCAAGTTGGTTGTGTACACGGGGATGGCATCGACGCCGTTTAAAAGGTCTGGTGATGGGAGCGTACTAGCCTGGCCGTCCAGTGGCTCGCCTGTGCCGTGTACCGTAGCGACCAGACCGCCCCTCAGCGCCGGAGCTAGGAGGGCCCGCCCCAACCCGGCCGAGATACAGCCCCTGCACATCTCCCGACGAACGCAAAAAGACATCCGGTCCGGATGTTCCTCCGCCCACGTGCGTACGTGTTGATCTGTAGCCCCCACCAGCCCCGCACCCGCAGCAGCATCCTGCCACCTAAGCCTAATCGGGGATATTTGTGTTGGCCATCTGGCGGCGCCGGTGGCTCTCATCTCACCGTCGCATCAGAAGCCTGCGGATACGGAGGACTTCAAAGGCGGCGGAGGCCGAGTGACATCTGGTTGCCTCTCTCGTAGGCGTCGGAGGGGAGAAGGAGGTGCCGCCGTACGGACGGAGGCTGACGAGCAGAGCATCCTCATATTCACGGCCGTAGGCGTCGGAGGGGAGAAGGAGGTGCCGCCGTACGGACGGAGGCTGACGAGCAGAGCATCCTCATACTCACGGCCGTAGGCGTCGGAGGGGAGAAGGAGGTGCCGCCGTACGGACGGAGACTGACGAGCGGAGCATCCTCATACTCACGGCCCGAGGGGAGGCGTGGGCTATTCGTATGGAAGGCCAAGTGGGACACGGGCCTTCTTGGCAGGGCTCGGGGACGCGAAGCACGTGCTGCTGGCTCTGCGGTGAGGGCGACAGCGAGGACATCATTCACCTGCCAGGTGTCCTGTTTCTTCACTGGCATTGCATAATGCTTTCCCGCGTGGTGCTAAAAATACCTGGCTTCATATTTCCAAGGGCTGCGGAGCTGAGGTATCATCTTTTTCATATGCTGCAGAGACAGTGAACAAACAGAAGAACCCTGTACTCTACTTGTCAGCATTTGGAACGAGCCCATCTTTTCACCTCCTGAAGTCATTTTCCTCCGCCCGCACAACCTGACCGGTCTGACAACAAGTGGAACCGAAGCAGGCATCGGCCACGTTATGGCGGGCAGGGAGTTAGGCTACCACACCTGATGCCGAAGAGTTCAATTGCGATCAAGACTACGCAGCTGCTTCCGGGGAACTCATGCTCGGTCGCTTGTGAGCAGGTCACCAGAATGCCAGCGCGCCACAGCCCGCCAACGTCGCCCGACGTGCCACCGTCGTCCGACGGCGACCTCTGCTACCGACCCGCAGGAGGCGGCCCGGCGCCACCTGGCGGCCTCCTGCTGGACGCCGCCAGACATGGGTGCCGGCTCGGCGGGCGTCCCGCGGCCAGCTGGCGTCCGGCACCTGCCGCGCCGGCCGCCTCCACACCGTCCAAACAGAGCCAGCTGCTGCCGCCGCCGCTCGTCTCGCCGCTCCATCGTCAGCATGCATCTGAACATACAGGTGAGGCGGCGAGGCGGGCCACGTCAGCACCGCGAGAGGCAAGCCTTCGTTGCGCCGGCGGGCGGGGAGGACCGCCGTCCGAGGCCGGCCGGCGCCCGGGGCCGCCCGGCCATTGGCCCACCATGCTGTGACGTCACGTCGCCGAAGCGTACTACTCCTCCGGTTCCGGTCCGAGCCTTCAGTGTGTGGTAGAGCGGGTGCCGGGGGGGCGCCGCGCTCCTGGGCGACGGTGGCGTGCAGGCTGGTGCTGTGATGCGAGTTGGGGGCTGATCGTCGCTGGATCGGGAAATCTGTGTGAAGAAGAGTGCATTGGAAAACGTAAGGTAAGTAGAATGTGTGTAGGATATATTTTGGCAGCTTTCCTTGTCAAACAGGTGACCATTGTGTAAGAATAAAAAAGAATCATGTATGGGAGGTGGCGATGCCCATCTTCTCTGCCTTTCATTACATACATATGCATGCACATTGCCCGGTGTTGGCGTTCAGGGCAGCACACCATGGCATTGATAATAGAAGTTATTCGTCCCACCCACCCCCCCCCCCCCCCCCCCAAAAACAAAATGGTTTGCTACGGGAAAAAACTGTGGTGACGGTCACCTTCTGGAATTTGGGCGGAATGGCAATAGAGTCGAAACAGGGGGTGGGGTGGGGTGGGGTGATAGAGCCATTCCCCTACTTAACTTTGATAACACTTAGACTTTGTCCGCCTTGAAAATTTGCATTGCGGCGAAGTATTTGGGAGACAGAAAATTAAATCAAAAGGCGTCTTACTGGTTTTTCCATCAACGTGACGTGAACTCCGCACCGCCGCCCAGTGGTTAGACTCATTTGAGCAACATTCGGTGCCAGCTCAAGGCCCGAGGACAGTACGGCTGCTGCAGGCAAGGTACCGTAATGCTCCAGACGCTTCAGGGGCCGGGTTGAGGACAAATTGGCAGCGCCGGGGTTTGTGGGAGCAGAAGCAGACACAAAACAGATAAGCAACACTTCCCTCCGCCAGTAGCTAAAAGGCAGGCATGCCTTACTTCAGGGAAAGAGGAACTGTGTGCTCATACATCCTAAGCCCGGGAAAGCGCTGCTCCAGCGAAATTCTTCAAGCATTTGGCCGTTTCTGACCGTTTACAAGCTCTCAGTTAAGAGAGAGAGGGGAGACCTCCCTGCTAATGGATCTCAACGCGCGATGCGACAGGAACGGGCTCCAGGTCTGCATAAACTAACTTCAAGCCGACCTCGTTCCTCCACGCGTCCCGGAACCGTTTGGCACCGGCCTTCGTGCGGGGCCTCAGCACCGGCGCGGCCCGCTCCTGTCCAGCACCGACTCCCCTGCACCGGCCCTCAGCACCGGCGCGGCCCGCTCCTGTCCAGCACCGACTCCCCTGCACCGGCCCTCAGCACCGGCGCGGCCCGCTCCTGTCCGGCACCGACTCCCCTGCACCAGCCCTCGTGCGTGGCCTCAGTGCCGGCGCGCCGATTACCCTGTGCCGATCCTCGTGCGTAGCCTCAGTACCGCTGCGGCCCACCGCTGGCCGGCACCGCCTTCCCCGCACTGGCCCTCGTGCGTGGCCTCAGTGCCGCTGCGGCCCACCGCTGGCCGGCACCGACTCCCCTGCACCAGCCCTCGTGCGTGGCCTCAGTGCCGGCGCGGCCTACCGCTGGCCGGCACCGCCTTCCTCGCACTGGCCCTCGTGCGTGGCCTCAGTGCCGGCGCGGCCCACCGCTGGCCGGCACCGTCTCCCCCGCACTGGCCCTCGTGCGTGGCCTCAGTGCCGGCGCGGCCTGCCGCCGGCGGGCGCGCAGAGTTTGTTGGTTCGGCGATCTATGAAGGCGGCGCTGCCAGCCGCACCAGAACATCCGGCGGGCGGGCATCGTCGCTCCCAGGCCCGCTGCGCCGCCGGCCGTTCCCACAGACGCCCGCCCGGCCTGAACCAATAAGCAGACTGCCGACTGGGACCGGGACGCGGACGGCCGCGGTGGGAGTGTTTATACCGCCGTCTCTCGTTCCTGTCGCTGAATGTTTTGTTGGCTAGAGCGGGAATGTATTGTCCGGCAAAAAATGTGTTATAGTGTGTCTTGTTTTTGGTGTAGCTTGTTTAGGTTAACGGTGAGAAACCATGTTAGCTGGTTCAGTTTTGAATAATATTTCAGTATGCCACCTGTTTTGTGCTCTTCAATTATTAATAGATCAGACGCGTCCGACTTTAACGTGAATGCCAGTTTTCGTGAAATCCCTCCAAATAGCTCAGAATTTCAAGTTGACTAATCCTCTCCGATGAGACAAATATCACTGGTCTCACTACTAGGAAAGCGATACCCCCTATTGTTTTGCTTTTGTGTGTGCTGTACTATTTGTATTACAATAATAGGGCAGCATGTATTTGCAGTAAAGGTTCGGAAAGGATGGAACGCTGCCTAGGGGCAAATATATATATATATATATATATATATATATATATATATATATATATATATATATATAGGTAGCATAAGGCCGAGCAAATTCAGCAAACCATCTTACAATGACTTTGATCTTCCTTTAATGTATTCAGCGCTGGCTTTTTCCGAAGTGCACTTTGCGTTCAGGAAGCAGACTTACCACATGGTCTTAAGTGACGGAACAACTTCAACCAATGCGTCTTTTGACAAATGGCCTTCGCCGCTCGCCGTGCCAACTCAATCGCCCACTTGTACTGGCGTCACTCGTACTAGTAGAGGTGCCGCTCTTAAGTCCGCAGGCCCACAATGTGTGGGTTAAAACAGCTCAGAAGCGTTACCTCTAGTTCGCAACAGCTGACGACGGTCCTCAGCAGACCCTGCCAGCGTGATCTGTCGCAGACGAGGGTTACACACTGGCGCTACAAAGGAATACGTGTACTGCTGTGACGAAATGTTGATAATGTAATTTTTACCCGAAAATAATTGAAAAATAATATTTTCATTGCATATTGACGCTACTGCAGTGGCACTACCCAGTGCTTTTGGCAAACGCAGCTGGTCCGGAGGCTTAGCCACAGCATGTTTTAGAAATATGCCCCTAAGGCTGGACACTCTTTCCCTGAACGAGCTCAAGATCAGTACAAATATTAACCACGAACTTTGTTGCTTCAGGACAATGCTGAAGCACGTGCAGATCAACCCGCTGCGGTCCTCGCTGATGCGGTCTGGCCAGAAGGCGGACACTCTGAGCATCAACTCCACCATGAGCTTCAGCTCACTGCACGAGCCGGCTCTGTCGTCTCGCTCCTCCTCCTACACATCGCTGAACGAGACACAGAGCAGCACGGGCAGCACCAGCGTGCCGGCCACGCCCACGGTAAGACGGAGATCTGGACCATGTCCAGCACAGACCAAGACTAGGCCCCGTCGAAATCAGACCCAGACTTAGACCTGACCCGGATCAGACAGAGACCAGACCAGACCAGGCCCAGGTCAGATAAGTCCCAGATCAGACCCAGGGCGGTCTCAGTGTATCAGCTGGTTCATGGTAAGGTGCAGGTTCAGGGACCAGCACCAGTGTACGGGATTTGTCCACGGTAAGACGAAGAGTTAGGGGGAGCTGCAATGGTGCGCTAGCACTTCATGCAACAGGACCGCGAGCAGCAGGCGGCGACATTTATCATCGAAGGCAATGAATCGGCACAGAGAGCTCCGGCATGTGGACTACGCCCACGGGAATCCGCCTTAACGTGCGACCGTCCGAACCTCGCGTCTCGTACATCACCGGCCACTCGCCGAGCCTCGCGCCACATGCCGGGGCCCACGTAATCCTGTCGGGCAGCAGTGAGCACAGTCGTCGCGGGGCGTGCTGCGGACGGCCCCCGTGCTGCGGACGGCCCCCGTGCTGCGGACGGCCCCGTGCTGCGGACGGCCCCCGTGCTGCGGACGGCCCCCGTGCTGCGGACGGCCCCCGTGCTGCGGACGGCCCCGTGCTGCGGACGGCCCCGTGCTGCGGACGGCCCCCGTGCTGCGGACGGCCCCGTGCTGCGGACGGCCCCGTGCTGCGGACGGCCCCCGTGCTGCGGACGGCCCCCGTGCTGCGGACGGCCCCGTGCTGCGGACGGCCCCCGTGCTGCGGACGGCCCCGTGCTGCGGACGGCCCCCGTGCTGCCGACGGCTGAGCTGGTCGTCCGCCTGCGGACGCGGCGTGGCTGGGATGAAGACGGGCTCGTCGGGGTAGTCTGATGAACTGGCCCGGCCGGCCGGTGGCGGCCAATAAATCAATGGCCGATTAATGGCCGGCCCGTCGCCGCTGTTATACATTAACCGGCCGAGGGTGACGCGGCGCGCCTTACGCGGGCGGTAATCGCCGTGCCCGGGGCGCGGGGGCGCGTCATTTAGAGGTGCCGGCACGCACCTCCCGGCCGCCTCCGAAATCTTTGTTACCGGTTGGCCGCCAGTGGTCGGGGTTGGGAACGAGGGAGAGTTGGACGTGATTGGTAGGTTGGGATCAAGTCGCGGCAGCGTTCTGCTGTACCGCTCATAAGCATTGAGGATTCCGGACTGAGTGCATGCGTCATGAATGAATGGTGGTCTGTGCAGCGAACAGCGTTCTGTAATGAATGGTTTGTTCATACCACCGAGTCACACATTTATATTCGCATGAAGCAGCAAAGAGAGAATGACGTTATCACAGAAGCTGGGCGGATTACTCTCATACCTCACTTGCCATCCTGAAATGCATTAAGTGTGTTTATTTTGGCATCAAGCCAAATATTTTTAGATTGTGGAGCACCAGAAGTGTTTCCGCAGTACTCTTCCGCATTAGCTCATTTTTCTGATGCGCCTAGTTAAGATGAAGTTCTCTTCATTCTCGCTCGTAGGCTGCGGACGCCGCCATCTTACCTCTTTTCACCTCACCTATCGCGCGCTCACCAGGCGCCTGCCTCACCTCACCTCACCTCACCTCACCTCACCTCACCTCACCTCACCTCACCTGTCACCCGCCCACCAGGCGCCTGCCTCACCTCACCTCACCTCACCTCACCTCATCTCACCTGTCACCCGCCCACCAGGCGCCCTGCCTCACCTCACCTCACCTCACCTCACCTGTCACCCCGCCCACCAGGCGCCTGCCTCACCTCACCTCACCTCACCTCACCTGTCACCCGCCCACCAGGCGCCTGCCTCACCTCACCTCACCTCACCTGTCACCCGCCCACCAGGCGCCGGCCTCACCTCACCTCACCTGTCACCCGCCCACCAGGCGCCTGCCTCACCTCACCTCATCTCACCTCACCTGTCACCCGCCCACCAGGCGCCTGCCTCACCTCACCTCACCTCACCTGTCACCCGCCCACCAGGCGCCGGCCTCACCTCACCTCACCTCACCTCATCTGTCACCCGCTCACCGGGAACCGGGTCATTGTTCACTAAGGGACGCTTGTCAGGGCAGCGGGCTACAGCAGGCGGTGAGGGGGTACAGGTGGCAGCGTTGGGATCGAAGTGACCCGAGGCGATACTGCTGGGCCGCAGTGATGACGTCGACACTAACAGCGCCCGGTGGCGGGGGTCCCCGTCTGCGGCCGGTGGGCTGGACGCGTTGACACTAACAGCGCCCAGTGGCGGGGTCCCCGTCTGCGGCCGGTGGGCTGGACGCGTCGACACTAACAGCGCCCAGTGGCGGGGTCCCCGTCTGCGGCCGGTGGGCTGGACGCGTCGACCAACCTGTCGGCCGCAGAACTATTCGGCCGTGCGAAAACCTCGACCACTTAGTCTCTAACACGGCACGAACACGTGGTCAACTCACGCTCTCCAGAGATCTGCGTCGAGTTGTGTGTCATGGCAATGGGACCGCCGTCTCACCGACAGCCCATCCGTCGCGTCGTCGACGCTCTTTAAACTGTCTGTCCACTCAAAGCTGGCTAGTTTACCCAGAAGGTCCAGCATGTGCGCTAAGAGGCAGATAGAGGGGTCTCGGTCTTAGTAAAATTCAAGTACAATACTTGACTCTTCCTATAGGACCATGTTAACCAGAATTTCACATACGCACAAGATAACCCCACACATATGTACGTGATTACACGTTTGGCGACGTTCCTTTGGTACTGGCCTGTTGGGCCGATGCTCAATCGACGGCACGGATCTCACCCTTGTCAAACTACCGTCTCCAAACAATACATCACTACATCCTCCCACACGCCATCAGTATTTGTCGTCGGCCGTGTTTCCGGTTTCATAAACACGCCGTCAAAAAGTGGGCCGCTGCGTCCCGGCCGTTCGTTTGGAGCCGACGGGGGCAGGTCGTCCGGCGGTCCGCAGCTGCCATGCTTCACTAAACCCCGTTGCCACTGACCAGTCCTCGACGCGATCGGTGCGATCGATGCGATGCAGTCACTCGATAGGGCGTGACAACCGGCCTGCTTTTGCTGATTCGTTCCAGATGGTTCCCGCCTCTCCCGTGCAACTCAAGCGCGGTGGCCCTGAAAGGTCGAGGTTACGACCTCACAGTAGTCGGTAGACCAGTCACGAGTATCTTCGCAAATGAAGGTACCCAGTGGGAGGCGGCACGCACTACCCCGTGATGTAACGCCACTGAAATTTACCGCCTTTCAACGGGACCCTAAATGCATGCGGGCCGTGATTTACTGTGAGTGAGAGTTCATGGGTCTGTGGCGGCTCGCTGAGGTCGTGATGGATGCATGACTGCGCAGTGTGCATGTACTAATTACAGTGGCTAACACGGCACGGGATTTTAAAGCTTTGTGGGTTGTTGTGCACATGGGTGCCTTGGACACACTTGTACCCATGCGCTTCACATACGCTCACGAATCGAGCAGTGTAGGCAGGAGATGACAGGGAACGCGTCAGGGGTAAGACATCTGGCGCATCACCGAGCCCATGGTTAACGGCTCGGCTGTCTCAATTCGACGGTGCACTTGCAGACTGAAAATGATAACCAAAACGTCGTTTCTAGGCCACGCACGATATGCCCTCCCGTCCGCAGAAAAATCCCCCCCCCAAAAAAAAATAATCCCTTCGGCACCATACTCCAGTCGCCTACACTCCATTCTCTTCAAACCGAAATGTGAATATATGCGTTCTTATATCATAACGATCGTTCAGAGATCGTCCAGAAGACTAATAAAGTACGTGAAGAAACACGTGCCACCTTCCGCCTTGGCAAGCGTACCATTATCGGTTCCATCTCTGACATTAATTGTTCGTTCCAGACGACGGTGAAGGTGTACACGCGCTGCCTACGGCCTGACCTCGAGTACAAGACCATGTGTGTCAAGTACACGACCACGTGCCGAGACGTGGTGGACCAGCTGCTCAACAAATACCGCATGAAACACCGCGACCCCAACCTGTTCTTCCTCACCATGGAGGTGGCCACCAGAAGCACAGGTGTGTTCAGGCGTCTGCCTGATGCTGAATCGAGAATCATAGGTGCAAGTGAGCTACGATACTAACGTAGCACGGCGGCCAGATCTCCGGGTACTCTGCAGCTCAGGCGAATGTTTCACGGCGTTCTCCAAACCCATCGGCATGTGTACGTCATCCGCTACGGTTCGTGCTGTTGACTGAGCTGTTAAGTAACTATTCGTAACTCGTAAACAACGATTATATCGCACGGCAGTAAATTACGGTACACGACTGGCCGCAAATGGATCAGATGCACTCAGCTGGCCTGGACGCCAGTGAAGCGTGCAGTTCTGAGGACAAGTTCGTTGACCATCGCTGGTCGGTCTGGTGCACTCGGATGGTGGCTGTGTTACATAGTTTTCTATGTACAGGAGTGGAGCGGTATGGTCCATTTTAGCATCTCGTGTGCAGTTTTCGTTGGTCATGTTGAACTAAGTAATCATGGGAGCGTGGCGATGGAGCCTCGGTAGAGTTTAGTTGAGGGGGGGGGGGGCAGATTTTGTGCGTGGTTCACTTCTAACCATGCCATGGCATTGGTTTGGTGTCCAATTTTCGTTTCCAGTCTGAGGGCGACGCAGCGGGGCGGATCAGACGCAGGTTCGCCGGTCAGGCACCCCCTCCCCTCCCCTCCCCTCTCCTTCCCCTCTCCTTCCCCTTGCACTGGCCGACAAGATCAGCTGCAGAGCTGCTGCCTTATTCACAGCCCAGCCTAGTGTAAAGGCTCTTTTTATCCGGCAGAAAGATGATAGTTACGCGACGTTGAGCTGCACGAATTCATGTAGAAATGGAGTTAGTGGATAACGCACATCAATGGAGTTCAGTCCGGAACTGGATAAATGGAGTTAGTAGGAAACACAAATTACTGGAGATAGTGAGTAACATAAATGACTGGAATTAGTTTAGTACGCAAGTGTAGTGACGACGACGCCGGCTACATGCGGCGGCCATGTCAGCCGGGCGAAGTGGCCGCGCGCCGCAGGCGCGCGGGATGGGGGGGGGGAGGGGAAGGGGAAGACGGGACAAGGCATCGGAAGAGGCCGCGTTAGCAGTGGCGGAGACAGGGCACACTAGCTGAGGGACAGAAGACGTATGTATCAGGAGCGGTAGGCGCAGACATAAAGAAACGGAGACACAGACCCGGAGGCAGGTGACGACAGGCCAGAAGCTGGGCACGCCCCTGCAACTCGGACTGTCAACACGCATGAGGCCGAAAGAGGTGATCCATCTCAGTCACGCGCAGACCTCGCCTGCCCCAGCCCACCACTCCTCAGACTTTCCAGCATGTCCGTATACCAGCATCCCTCCAACGTAGGTGTCTCCTCGGTCCGTCCGACAGCATCAGAACTTTCGTTGTCCGACGGTCGCTGGGTGACATAACTCAGGGAGGTAACGGACGGGGAGGCTGAGACCGCGTGTTAGGGCTTCGGTGGAAGTCAGGAATTTCACCTGGGGTGAGCAGGCGGCATGTCAGGACGAAAATGGCTTTTAACATTCAATACATGCGGAGTATTATAGCCCGACATCAGCTAGCTAAGCCATTCAGGACATGAATCGGATCATCGCAACATGGCATCATCGTAGCATAGGATCATCGCATCATCAGACGGCACGCAAGACGGTAGTCCGCAGCAGCCCAGAGGTGGTTAAACGCAGCAGGTGCAAAATTGGAGCGTACAGCAGATGCGACAGCGGCCTCTACACAGCGACTAACAACAGCGAGGGGCATTGGCGCGGAACCGACTCGGGCTGTTTTCTATTCACTACGCCCATGCCACCAAGCCTAGGCTCAAGCCCAAAGGCCGTATGCTCCCCATTCCTATCGGTTTCGCCATTTGCCGTGGAATCCCTCTCACTCGGCTGAGCTGCTGACAACATTCGCCACCGGTACAGACACGGGGCAGTTAACACACGGCATGGTAGCGGTATTGCCGTCATGTCCTGGCCTGCCGCGGTTGTCTCGGATTGTCTCTGGTTGTCTCGGGTACGAGGCGAGCAGCGCCTGCCTGCGCTCCTGGTGGACTGGTCACAGTAGGATGGAAGCTTCAGATCGGGCCGCTCCGGGCAGCAGGCGCTCCCACGGACAGCCGACGCCGTCCAGCGACACCTGACGGCGCCCTCGGAGAGGGAGGGAGCGGCCTCTCGCCGCCCGCGGGGCCGGCGGCGGCTCCTCACGCGTCAGAATGCACCTCTGCCCGAACGCTGGGGACGCCGGCCAACGGACGCAGGTCCGGACAGGACCTTTTCAGAGGCGCGATTACGTTACCGAACGCGCTTACGCCGGATTTATTGCCTTCCTTAACAGTGCGACAGTTCATCGTTACGCTGAGAAATTACGGCTTAAATGGGCCCGAATCACATCGAGTTAGCCTTGATTAGCCGCGTTCTGGGTGCGGCGGACTCGGTCACGGGAGCGAGCGCGGCACACATCACGGCATTTAGGCGGGAAACGGCAGCAGATGCTCACGAGCCGTTCTGGGACACGCCCTGAATCTCGTGCGTACGACAGTCTCGACACCAAGAGCGGCGTCCACTGTTTGGTTGAAGCACAGGGTGCGTTTTCACAAGTGCATAGTCTTGGTTTGAGTCCTAGTCTGAGTCGTAGTCTGAGTTTTGGGTGCCCTTGGTTGGAAACGTCCTGGGTCGTGGATTAGGGGTCACCCTAAGACTTGAAAGTTGCATTCCAGGTTATGGTGCACGTTAGATATTGTGACGTGCACGATATATTATAATCATATTGTGTGCACGTTAGCTTTAAAACTGATTTGGCCCTATACTCCTGCTGAGGAGAACAGGTCGGATATCTCCAATCATGGATTTGTCACACGTCATAGTTGGAACGTTTCAGGCAAGACCAAGCATCGCTGAAACGTCACAACGCCAGCAAAAAACTGGTACACTTGAAATCTGAGCCCGACCGGGAACTATTCGTGCCTCGCCCCACTCCGGGACTGTTTCCCGTGGGTGGACGCGCGATCACGCTGAGGCAAATCAAACGGTCACGTCTTCTGGTGTCGTGCCGTCGACCTGGACCATAAGTGGGCCGTGCGCCACCAGGGGTCACCGCGGGTCAATTCCGGTCACGCCCGCCAGCAATGGGGCATGGTGTGTCAGTGCGGGGGTGTGCGGAGCCGAGCTACTTCAGCCGCGATCCCGTGACCGAGGGCTGACCTGCCACTGGTAAAATGATTGCGCTGCCCCGTACAGTTCATACCGCCGACTACCGCGGACACCGGGAAATGGAGCATGCCCCAATCACGACAGCGGGGACTGAGCGGCTGCGTTATTGACAGGTGCTTCTGTGCGGACGATCCTGGTGCTGGATGACGACTCGTGTCCAGCCCAGCTGCAGGCCTGCTACCCGCGCGCCGACTCCAGGTGAGTATCGCCTGTGTGCAGCAGCCACTCGTCGATGTCCTGGGACGGGAGCGTCGTCCGCCGGCCACCATGGGAACGGACCGTCCACCGCTCCCAGACGGCCCACAGGGCACCCGTTTTTCCGGCCGGCCGGTCACGGAAGCAGCCGGAGCCGGCATCCGGACGTGTGACCTCACGTGAGAGCGGTGCGGTGCGGTGGCGTCCGCCGTGGCCCCTTCCCGGAGACGCGCCGCGCCCGGTCGGCCGTGTGGCGAGGTGTGCGACCGTGCCCCCCTTCCCCTCGGCCTCACCCCTCACCCCTCTCCGGACCCGGACCTGTGACGAGAGACGGTCCCTCTGCCGCAGGTTCACCGTCCGTATGCGGCACGGAGGCCTGGTCAAGGTGTTCGACAGCGTGCTGATGGCCGAGGTGGGTCTGTCGCCGGCGGCGGGCGCGACACCGATGTCCGGCTCCGTGCTGGACTAAAGGAGACTGAGTTCGGCGTAACGTGACACCGTGCCATGCGGCACTCAGAGGTCGAACATATAACATAATAACAAAACAAAAGTGGACTTTGACTGTTGCCCAGAAACATAAAATACATCCATATAATACGTCCATGTCCAAAGCAGCTATGTCCAGACATTCTGACTCCTCGTGGGAAGTTGTATCTCAGACACAAACAACGGCTTAGAGACCCTTGGTTCATAAATGTTTCCCAAAGAAACATTCTCCGTCATGTCTAAGAGCTTTTCCGGTCTTTGTGTAGATTTGTAGAAGCTAGAGGGGAATAATGCATCGGACAAATAGAAATCTGAGTCGCGTGAACTAACTCGGGGATGCTTGTGCCCCAGTCCCAGTACAAGAGTTTGTTGGTGTCGGAGCGGACGACGCTGGACCAACTGATTCAACTGCTGCTCAACTGCTACAAATCTTCGGAGAGCGTCAACTCGTTCTCTCTTTACGAGGTGCGTGAGCCATGACAGTGCGATCTAACAGCCGTGGATATGAGCCATGACATTTTTTGCTACAGAGGTGAACGTGAGCCATGACGGTGTGTCTCTACAGCGGTGGACGTGAGAGATGACGGTGTGTCTTTACAGCGGTGGACGTGAGCCATGACGGCGTGTCTTTACAGCGGTGGACGTGAGCCATGCCAGTGTGTCTCTACGGCGGTGGACGTGAGCCATGACGGCGTGTCTTTACAGCGGTGGACGTGAGCCATGACGGTGTGTCTCTACAGCGGTGGACGTGAGCCATGCCAGTGTGTCTCTACAGCGGTGGACGTGAGAGATGACGGCGTGTCTTTACAGCGGTGGACGTGAGCCATGACGGTGTGTCTCTACAGCGGTGAACGTGAGCCATGCCAGTGTGTCTCTACAGCGGTGGACATGAGAGATGACGGTGTGTCTTTACAGCGGTGGACGTGAGCCATGACGGTGTGTCTCTACAGCGGTGGACGTGAGCCATGCCAGTGTGTCTCTACATCGGTGGACGTGAGCCATGACGGCGTGTCTTTACAGCGGTGGACGTGAGCCATGCCAGTGTGTCTCTACGGCGGTGGACGTGAGCCATGACGGCGTGTTTTTACAGCGGTGGACGTGAGCCATGCCAGTGTGTCTCTACGGCGGTGGACGTGAGCCATGACGGCGTGTCTTTACAGCGGTGGACGTGAGCCATGACGGTGTGTCTTTACAGCGGTGGACGTGAGCCATGACGGTGTGTCTTTACAGCGGTGGACGGGACTCGAGTGAAGCTGGCCTTTTTGCCTGCATTTGCATGTTGTCGCAGATAAGTTCGTGGGTTTTCCTCAGCGTGATGGAACAATATGCTCGCTGCATAATGAGAGTTATGAGATTGAGGGTCGTTCTGACGATGTGTCGATATGGTTGTTCAGGTGGGCCGTACAACGGGCTTCGAGCGCAAGCTGCATCCGGACGACCGTCCGCTGCTCATACAGCAAGAGTGGGCCTCCAGCAGCGACTACAGCTTCGTGCTGAGGAAGCGGCCGCCGGGCACGCCACGCTCCGGACGGGACTTCCCCCTCAGGCGATCGGTGAGTGACCCCGAGCTGGCCGTTGGTAAAAGAAGCCATCTTATGATTGAAAAACGGAGAACCCACTGCACGGACGTATTTTTCCGCTACCGAATTTTGGGCTGCTGGATGCCCTCCAGACGCGGATCTCCTGTCTCCTTAGAGCGACCCATTGTGGGACCTAATGACCGGGGCGTTTTGCGTGCTCAAGGTCCTTCCGTCTCCCCCACGTAATCCTTTCTTGTGAACCCTTTTGAGGCCCCATCAGGTGAGATCAACAGGTGTGTCGACCTTGAACGCCACGGCCATCTATTAATTACCGCTAACGACGCATGCATTCCGTTTGTTTTGTTGTGCGCGCGCAGTTTTATGACCTGTTAATCTTGTGGCATCGTCTCGGCCAGATGGCAGCCTTATACTGACCAGGGGGTACATGGGGGCTGGCCGCCTTAGGGTGCGTACTGAGTTGTACGCTATACTTTTACGGCGAATTGCGGGCTTTTCTACTAGGCTGATCAACCGACGCATCAAAACTATCATTTTTGGGGTGTTTATTTTGTAACCTGATGTCCGATATTTAACGTGATGGGTACCAACGACGTGACGGCTTCAGGGCAGTGTAATAAGGGACGTCACTTGTTGTGTGGCAGGTATTTACTGCTATTGGCATTCACGTAATTACTAATATAATTGATGCTGCAATTTAGCGTTGCCCTTCTACGTCGTTATCGTGATTGCCACCATGATCCCAAAGTAACGCGCACATCGCATTGCAGTTTCTGCAGTGGAGCAGGAACAAAGAGCTGTGCCGACCTGTTCGGGAGATGGCGGAAGGGGACGGGCGCCGGGCCAGGAGCTCCCGAACGGCCTCTCTCTCCCTGGCGCCGTGCGCAGACTACGACAACTTCTTCTACATTTGAGCGCTTCCAAGTTCGCCTGTGTTTGCTGTCATACCAAAGGTAGGTTTCGCTCTTACAGTTCATGCAACTCACATGTGTCAAAGTTGTTTTTGGTATGGTTTCGAGGATTGTCAACAGAAATCACCATCCCGAAAAAGCATTTCGCGCTGCACAGTAGCCATCCATATCGCACCCGTGTCATTTCAAGTGCTGTCCTGCACATTGTGTCATTCACTTTTCATTTGCATTCTGTGTTCCAGAGTTTATACGATGAAGTGCGGCGAGTCTCCTGCAGCGCCTGCCGCCGCATCCGAATCCGGCCTCTGCTGTTGTGCCGGGTCGGAGCCCTCCATCTGGAGCACGTCCCTTTGACCGGACACCTGCGTTCGGCGCGTTCTCCGTCGAGCGCCGCGTTTAGCGCGTCCTCCGCCGAGCGCCGCGTTCGGCGCGTTCTCCGCCGAGCGCCGCGTTCAGCGCGTCCTTCGCCGAGCGTCACGCTCAGCGCGTTCTCCGCCGAGCGCCGCGTTCAGCGCGTTCTCCGCCGAGCGCAGGGATCAGCAGCTGCGCGACGATCGCGCCCAGCCCTGGCGGCGACCTCGGAAGGGTGAAGCAGCAGCCCTGCCGACGTCGGGCGCTGTCAGCTGGTCGTCAGTACCGGTGTCCAGACACGGCCGGGGTGTGACTCCTGATGTTGCGGTGTGATCGCGCTGGGCCGGCTGCTCGCGGCCGTTTGTTCGGCCCTCTGGTAGCCCCTGTGGCGTGATCTGCACCTCGTTGGATGTCTCCCCGACAGGGCAGTGTAGGGCGTGGTTGACTGGCGCCTTTGGGTGTGCGCGAATATAAGAGCCAGACATGGAAGGAATAACGGAGAGGATACGTTTTCCATTTATTGACCATGAATCATAATTTGTCTATGCCTTACTTTCTAGTCATAATGGTATATTGTTGTACGTGCTTGGGACGTCAGAAATATATGCCGGTAACGAAAGAGCGGCATTGGTTTATTATTGTACCCGATCGGCGCAGCACTGACCAACAAACTCATAAATGCATCGTGATAATGTGTGTGTGCTGCGTTTTATTACAAATTAACGTGCAGTAGAATATGTTCAACATGCTATAGGTATGCAACCGGTCTATCAGTAGTTAAAGAAGAAAGGAATGACATGTGTATTACTATCACAGACACATTTGCAGCTATATTTACTTACGTGCTAGAGTTTTTTCCATGTCAGATCTAATCAATGCAAGGCCTTAGCCCAAGTTCCATCACACTCATGCACTTCTTCATATGTCACGTAAACCAATCAATGATAATGATGCGATTTGCTACGTGACGATAATGCGTCCTGCATACTACGCTCAGCTGTCTATTCGGGTGGCTGCATGGTTTCTCAAAGTCACCGCGACCATTTCAAGTCATGTGTTAATACGGTGTCAGATCTGTTCTAAGCCCGTGAAGTGCGCGCAGACCTTGTCAGGGTTCTGTGCTGCCAGAAACGCGCGGCTTAGTGATCTACCTCATCTTCATGCTGTGCCTTGTGAAGGAAGTTCCAAGTTCTGCTGGGTCAACAGTCCCAGCTGGAGACCATTATGGCGTTGGATTAGTGCGTGGGCCCTTTGAAAAGACGGTTCCAACGGTCGTACCCTATGTCCACATTGATCTATAGAGAAGCAAGATGGTTACCACCGGAAGAGCGGTGACATTGGATCCGCCCGCGGCCTCGGACAGACAATTCCTTTCAAGCTGTCTCCCCTCTGTTATTTCTGCCCAAGATGAAAGAAGCTTCCCGGAGGCGGGATGGTCATTTGGAGAGCATATGCGCTGCCTGCCAAACCTGGGGAAGAACGAAGAGACGCTTTGTCAGGTGCTGTAGATGGCTCCATTGAACTCCAGTTCAAACAAGACAAGCTCATCAGGTGCCGATGCCGATGCCAAACAAAGACGAGTAAATTTTTTAGTGGAATGCGTGTCAACTACTGGATGTGGGCACAATTGGGATCGGCCAGTTCACCGGGTCACTGGGGGTACCACGTGCGACGTCGCCCGTTTAGGTGTGCTCGTAAACGGCATTTTGCATGGGTGGCGTGCACAGCAGTTAAACGCGGAAACCGAACGACTTGAAAACAACAGAGGTTACCTCAAGTGAGCACCATATGCCGAAAAGCCTCATATACAAAAACAAAGCTGTCCTTCGTCCAGTCTCAAGCGAAGCGATTTTTCAGTGCGGTCAAACGGGGAGTGCCACAGCTAGATTGGAAGCGATCTATACGGGTATATTTCTTGACTGTATTTCCGACGCGGGTTTCAAAGCCAGTTGTCTTTGGATCATTCTGATCAAGCCAGCATTTCTAGTTAAAATGTCGATTTTCGTAGATCCTTCATCAGGTCTTTTGTTCAGTGCCCGTTTGAGGATGATGTTTTTTTCCAGACAAGCCTCGGAGATTATCGATCTCGCCGGCAGCGTAGAACCTGACTGCAATACCCTGATGCTGATGTCTTTCAAATGCGGCCCATGTTGACACTCAGGCGCTTCAGACGACCCAGCGACGTCTCCAAGAAGCACTGCACTAACTACAAGCACGCACACGCTCAGGCGCTACAGACGACCCAGCGACGTCTCCAAGAAGCACTGCAATAACTACAAGCACGCACACGCTCAGGCGCCACACGTCCTGGAGCGCTGACCGGCCGGCTACAAACGAGCTGCTGATCGGCGTGAAATATGCGCCGCCGCCGCCCCAGACGAGGGCCATGTTTTGCCCGACGTGTTTTCGTTCTGCCCGGTGCGGACGCCAATTACGGCCGGAGACGGCTGGGCGGTGGGGAGGGCTGTGGTCGGACCGGCGGGGTGTGTCTGGCTGGCCGCCCCGGCGTCGGCTGCCCTGCCGTCGTGTCTCTGACTGCGCGCACGGCGGGGCTCCCCGGAGTCTGCTTGTCCTCGGCCGTGTCAGCTTGTCGATTCCGCTGAAGATTTACGTAGATGGCGCCGTGTTCATCCTGAGGCAAATTTGTTGGAATGGAGCATTGCATTCGTGGCGAAGGCATGTTCTCCATGTTCAGTTAAGGTGGGTGTTTCATATTTGTGCGGGTTTTTAACTGAAATGCCTATTTTGGAGATAATACGGTGCAGCTCGCAGCCCTGTCCTTTTTCGACCTAAATATCTTTAGTTTCTGAGCTAAACACCTGTGGAGATGTGCAGACTATTTCGGCGAGATTATTTCAAGGTCACCCAGGCATCCACGACGCCGCCATAACATCACTGAAGTCCTGTCATTTCATTAGCCACCGGGCGATCAGGGTTAAGAAAACTATCATTTACCCGGTTTACATGGGCAGCCGAGGATAATTCGAATTAAGATCGGAACGGATCATGCGACGTTAACCCTCTCGGCGAGGGGCGTTTACATGGGCGAAACCGGCTTTACGTCGGATTAACGGTCGATAGTTCGATCCCGCTTAGTTCGAATCAAGGAACGGGTTATGGGCGAAAACTGCGCTTTTGAGGCGAACTGAACAAAACAAGAAGAAAAAAGCCGGTACTCTGCGTATGGATGGCGAATGTCACGAGCCAGGGTGGGCGCGAGACAGCTTTGAGGGTGAGGAGGAAGATGGACTCCGTTGGAAAAATGATCTGTGCGGGACTCAGGCTTTGAAGCTACAGCACAAGCCATAGCACTTGAAACACGAGTTGCGCAGTCAGCACTGCCAAATCTGTCACATAAGCAGTGTTATATGCAATTTTTTACTAGCAGGAAACTGGCTAGCACGAAATCAGTATTTTCTTGTATTGGCCAATGACACTCACAAACTTACCACACTCATCAGTATGCCACCCAGCATCATGTCATCTACTTTGCGCAGCCCAAGAAACACATTACCTAATCCCGCACCAATGCATTTATGAGCAGCCTGCAACAGTGAGCTAAGCTACAGAAATGACTCATGAATGCTACACAGTTAGTGGCAAAAATTGTGTAACTATGTTGTCTTTCCCCATCCAATGCAATTAGTACCTGAGGGCAGCATTGCCATTTAGACTTGGCATGGACTGGCAAGTCAGAATGCAGCTATTTGCTTTCTTGACATACTAGGGTTGAAATACTGCTTTGATATCCTTGCAGTCAACAGCATTGGCTGATATGGACTGATGGCTAGGTGGCACAAACAGCCGTGTTCGCACAGTCCAAAGATCATAACGTGAACCAGCCCCAGAGCTGTCATGACAAAAGCAATCTGGGCTCAAAATTCATAACAAATGATTAATTATAGCAACAGCTCAATTATCCACCTCATGGTTTGCAAGGATACATGTCACAAAAAAGCACCAAGGCAACATATTTACTCACCAGTACAAAAACAGGTAATGATGTGCACTGCAGATGTTCTCTGCACATCATGTGGCATTAGGTTAGGTTTACTTAGTTTATGCACTGTTTTCTTCCACATGAAATGCACAAACCTGGATTCGACAGAGTCCTGATGACAGCTAATTTCATCCAGTGCTCACATTTGCTTTCTTGACATTTTGGAACCATCACTGGGCAATTTTTGTCCCATCATTAAAAATAGTTCACATTCTGCACTGACTGCAATGATCTATTGCCTATATTTGTTGATCCTTTGCATCATGCAGGAATTATTGAGTTACCTATCTCACACACATTAAACTGACACAAACAAACAGCCTAACTGCATCAAAAACAAATATTCCAGGCCCCGCTTCCTTGCCAGTTGGTCTACCAGTGTGACGTAACTTCATATTTCCTTGACAAGCCAGTCACCAATATCCAGCACATCCCTCCTGCCAATAGGTGGTCAACCAAGTGTTCAAGTCACAGGAGGAATGTCTGCAAATCAATCCTGGGGCATTTATGTATTCACCTAATGAAAGAAACTATTGGTACTCCCTGCAAGAATTGTTGAACAGTTGAATTACCTACCTCGTGGCCTGCAAAGACACCCATCACAAAAAAGCACCAAGGTGACATATTTAATCACCAGCACAAAACAGGTGATGATATGCAACACAGACGTGTTCTCCATGCAGCATGAGCCATCGTGTTAGGTGTTAGTTTATGCACTGTTTTCCTGCACATGGAACACACAAACTTGGATTTAGCAGAGTAATGATGACAACTATTTTCATCCAGTGTTCACATTTGCTTTCTTGCTGTTTTGACCCCATCATTGGGCAATTTCGGTCCTACCATTAAAAAAGTTCACATTCCGAGCTGACTGCAATGATCTATATTTGTTCATCCGTCATATCATGCAGCAATTTTTAAGCTACCTTTCTCACACAAATTAAACTGACAAGCAACCAGCATCCTAATTTAAGGAACATCTGCAAAAACACTCCTGGGGACTTAAGGTATTAACTTAATGAACGAAACTTGGAGGCATTCTCTGCAAGAATTTTGAGCAATCCAAAATTAAAATGAGAACAAGTCAAAGCTATATAAAATAACCATATTACCTCCATCTGGCTTTTGGAAGCATGGAGCCTGCCCCAGATGTAAACTAATCTAACCTTTAGGCGGAAAGATAGCACCAAACACCGTCGACGCCTGCTGTCTGCATAGATCAAGCGCCTAGCAAGGCTAAATTACGTGAGCATTTCTGTGCTGCTAGCCACTCAAGGCCCTCAATAATAAGAGTAGTTTTAGCAGCATGATGTCAACTTCACCTTCCTTCTCTTTTCCCTTACCATCCTGGACTTGAACCGTCTCGAGCAATAGCTAAAACCCGTGGAAAAGCGGTAACACCGCACAAAGCTGAAATGGCTATGAACAGAACTGCGTGCGCCAGGCATTTTTCTTTTTTTTTGTTTAGACAGCTGACGGCCGATATGTCAAATCGTTCATATCTGGCGTTCGTGAACACGATTTTCATGCCCAACGGCTGCCCATTGGTTCTCAATCAGTGTTGTGCAAGATGCGATGACGCAATCAAACAATTGAGATGGCGTGTTGAGAAGCACATTTAC